ACCCCTTCGGAACAAAAATAGGTGCTGCTGTGCAGTAAAACACGAATGCCTCTTAGCTACGTGGTATCTTCAGTCGGGGATACGACCAAACATTTCCCATCGGTCGGTTCCATATTTGTACACGGACTGAAAAACGCACGCTGTGATACTTGGACGCGACTGTCCACAGACCCACATCCCTCTCAGTGCATCCCGCACACTGTCCCCCCCCCCCCCCCCCGACCGCGCCACCCCACCCCACAACGTCGCGGTGGCTCAAGCCGCACCTGTACACGACCAGCGAGTGCGCCTGCTTGGTGGAGTACATCTGGCAGCCGAGCAGGATCAGCAGCGTGTTCAGAGCCTCCAGGTGAATGTAGTAAGTCGCGTCCCTGTGCAGCGGGCGAGGCGTCACAACAGCGGCAGCAGACGCCGATACCAACGGCGCCTACTCAATTTAAGATTCAGTCATATTTTGAAATAATGCACTTCTGGGGCTCTTAAATCAAAGCTCTCGTTACTCAGCACTTGTGCAACTTTCACCACTACCACTTAATTGGGAAATTTCAGATCAACGGCAGCATTGGTGGCGAAAGCTTAAACGTGCGGCAAAGCTCGCCCAAATCCGTCCTGCCCTCTGTCACCTGACCTTTAGCACGACCACTGCCCTCATTCGAACAACAATCAGCGCGGTAACGGCGTTGAGGCTGCCGTCGGAACGTTCCTGGCTACAATTGTATAAATAGTCTTCGCCGCCCAACGTTAGCACGGCACGACAGGGGACCGCGCCACACGACGCGACCCCGGGACCACGTGCCGCGTGGAGCGCAGCCACCGCTCGGCAAACCGGCCCAGCCGTGGTGCCGGGAGTCCAGCCACACTCACAGCAGGGGTACGTCCACCAGCACCTCGATGAGCGCGTTCAGCAGCGTCTCCAGCTGGCTGCCGGGCTCGGCGGCGGCCGGGGGCGCGCCGGCCGCCGGTCGCGGCCGCGCCTCCAGCTGACGCACCAGCTCCTCCTCGCGCAGCAGCTGCACGCACAGCTTGCAAATGCAGCGGATGGCCAGCAGCGCGTTCAAGGTCTCGTCCGCCAGCCGGTTGCTGCGCAGTGGGAGAAAGGGGGAGGGTACGGGAGGAGGGGGACAAAAGTTAGCGACGCCATCTTGGACTCGCAAACGCTTGTGCAGCACACCATCAAACTTGTGAACAAACTGCTGTCACAAGATCATGACGCGACCCACACGACATACTAATACAGTGACCTCCGTTACCAATGGTATGAAAGGCGAATGCCATATGCACTTCTGGCACCATCCATTTGAGCGCGTGTCGCCGTCGTTGAAGGCATATGCATACATCTTGAATGAGAGCGAATTTAGAGCTTCAGAATGCGGGCATCTTTTGGTAACTTTACCATTCACTTAGATAAGACGATAGTAATAGCCTTATTCGTCAGACATAAAAAACAACAGGAAAATGGAGATATAGATGTGTTGGGATTTCGGCAGAATGCCTTTCTTATAACAATAGCAGCAGCGAATTCAAATTGCCTGCCAATGGTCCTACTAGATTTTTCAGCGTTTTTTTTTTTTTTTTTGGAAACAGCGACCCACAGTTTTTACAGGACACCAACATCCGACATCCGACATCCGACATCCGACATCCGACATGAGGCTATTACTACAGTATTTTCTATGTGAATAATATTCCTCGCATATGCAATTCACAACTTAGGTAACTTTATCATTCATTTAAAAAAGTGCTCTGGCGACCCTACGGTGACTGGCTGTGACATAAGGATGTAGCCCAGCAGTCAAGGACTTGTACAAAACGCCTGCTTGTCATTTACCGCCAATAACGACGCCGATGGCAGCAACACCTAGACCATCAAAGCAAATGAAAAGCATGCCAAAGACTATCTCACCCTTCAAGCTGAGCTGAAGCCTTCAGATCTGAGGCCTTCAGCAGGAAGACACGCATCAGTGAGCCCAGATTCCCCGTCTCCAGGTTGTTCGTTAAAAACAGGTGAACAAGCTAGAGACATTCTCCTCCAGTCTACAGTCGTCCTCCCTGGGGATAAGGGAAAAAGGCCACGACCTTCAGTGTGACAGCACGAAACGACAGGTGCTACTGACGAATGGCGTTACTGCTGATGTCGATGAAAAGAGGTACACAAACACAGATCCATTCTTTAGTTTATGTTTAAGGAAACCCGTCGGACGTCGTTGCACATCTCGTAGGAGAGCCAGCGACTACAGTGCCTATTTGAGCATTTGGGTGCTGTAGGGTTGTATGGATTTGAGCTCAGGCACCGCACGCGGGAGCCAAGAGACTTAATGAATGCACGAGTCTGACTATGTGGTGAAAATATTTTTGCCTGATATTCCATTGTGCCTTCAGTACAAGACAGAGTCACAAACTTACTTTGTTAACCTCTTCTTGAAGCGGAACTCGAGCAGTTTGTCCCAGAATGGATCATTGGGAGCGATGAGTTCCTTGCTGACCATGCGCGCCAGCTCCGCGCTCTCGGACAGGGAGCCCAGGTCACTGGCACCGGCGCCCATCGCCGCGAATGCCAAGCTCACCTGCAACACATTGATGGCCTCTGGTACTAGAGCAAGTGTGGTGGCAGCCGGGAAAATTGTCTAGCCAGGTTAGCAGCATATTATGTCCCAGGCCAAGTTAGGAATGGATCACATAATGTGACAAAGACTTTAAATCTACCCTAATGAAAAATCATGGTTCACTTACTGGACTACACATGTGGAAAGTGGGAAAGATGGGGAGGGCACAGGTGCAGCTGCTACCATCTCAGGAAGAGTTGAACACAATGGCTTCATATGGAAGTCATTGTAAAAATATCGCTTTACCTATAGCTCCTTATCTCCTCACTACATTATGGATCACACTTGGAATACATTGCATTGCTTCAGTATCTGGCTCTCCCACATAACTCCACATCTTCCATGCTTCAGCATCTTAGAGATGTGTGTTCAGTATGCCACAATATCATCCATAGTCTCAAAGCACAAAAGGAAACAAGATGTGCAGAAGATTCCCTATGGAAGTTCATCTTGCAAATATCTGATTTGCCACACCCACACCCACACAACATGTGCTATACCCAGTGCGGCGGGGCATCCATGTACACTGTTGTGAGCAACGTGCCCATGCCAGGCACTGCACATCATCCCGCTTGTAATGGCGGCGGCCCGGCTGTCAGTACTGCCGGCTAGTCTAGGTCATGTGGCCTTGATGTTTGGTTAATCGGCAGCATCCCCTTGTGGGGCCAAGCCAAGGTCAGGCGTGTGGTGCAGCCGAGGGGCCAGTCGGGTCCTGGCTCCTGGCTGACAGGGTACATATTCTGTGTCCCCCATCCTCCCTTTGAGCCACTGGAAATGCCTAAAGGGTTTGTGCCATACCTTACATACAGCCTATGGCCTATGGATGACAGCTGGGGCACTCCCAGAGAGCTGCAAAACTGTCCTACCAAACCCTTCTGGAGGCTCAATGGCAATGAGCTCCACTGCAGCACCCAGAGATGTTGTGTACATGGCATGATAATGTACAAGCAATATAGCAGAATGATTAGAGCAAGTGATTTAGAGCTGTCATCAGACTAAGACAGAGTGAATTGCTATGGTGTCTGGCACAAACCATCCATCATGTCCTCTAAATTAGATTTAACTGGTCATGGCAGCCCTTTAGGCAGGACCTTCTGAGCCTCCATCCTGTTATTCTGCATGTCATGGACTAGGTCATGGCAGACCACTCCACCTTCCATCATCACTGCAGTCACATTCTCACAATTTGTACCTGCTATTTGAGTAAAAACATTCCTGCATTATATAAAGCAGATCTTATTCAAATCACACAGCTCCTCCAATGACTGCACCAGTCAGTGTAAAGCTTTTATTAAAAATAGCATACAATTTCATGTGCAATATATGTTTTCTCAGAGAGACAAGGAAGGGCTGAGTCTGCCAAAAGATTTTCTGATTCTCTTTTTACCATTAAGAAAAAAAAACTTCTAATTCAAGAAACAATACCTAAGTATAGCAATGCAATATAAAAACCATCACCACACTCCTGTACTTTGGTATTCCATTTGTGCCATGATCATGTGACCGCATTAAAAGAGGTTAAACTAGGTGTGCATTCAGACATTCTGCAATGCTTGGTGTCATGGGTTGATGCCATTTTGGGTGCATGATAAAACCAAAACACGAAAAGAAGTCCCAATTGACTGAGATCTGATCACAAGTATGCTAGCGGTCACCATTCATGTGCGTGATATGGCAGTGACCTCACTTGAGCTAGCATCAAAGCATATAATTTGCGGAGGCATTACATTCCAAAACAAATAAATGACCTGAAACACTACACATGAGCAGGCTGTAACTATTGAAAAATACAGGCTGCGCATTTGGAAAGGTGCTGAAAACATTCTTCCCTGTGGATCTCGTGAGCTGGTGACCTTCGTAATGTTGACGCCCGTCCAGGCCTGGCACGAAAGGACTTTGAACCAAATCCAGGGCCAACGCTGCAAGGTTAGGCAAGGGACAGTTTCTGAACACTTATTCGAAGAACGTAGGCCCACACCTGACCGGTAACAAAATAGACCAATTATTATCCTGAAAATAACAGGAGATATATTACCTAGCAAAGTTCCAGCGGACCTCGCGTTCCCCAGTCGCAGCAAACCACGAGACCTCCCTCACCACCACCTCCACGCGACAACCAAATTTCAGCCGAGGCCGAGAGTGCGGGTGCGGGATTTGTTGACGTGACTATAGAGAAGAGCATATAATTATAGTGCATAAAAGTACTTCTTTTTCCCAGCGTCTGCAGGATTTGCCATCAATATAGTGATCAAATAATGTCATCAATTGCAAAAATTTGTAACCTAGTTTGGTAGTCAATAATTTATAAAATCCTATCCTTTCAAAATATAAGCAAATCATAACAGTACTTGGTACTTGAAGGCACACATGTGACAAGATGCGTCCATCCTTTCAACAATGGCGGCCTCCATCAGGCGAATTCTCGGGAGAGGGCTCCCATTTATCAACCGAAGCCATGTACAGGGTAAGCGGAATTGTCTGCTAAAATTTCTTTCCTGTGATTGTCTCTTTCCTTCCTCTTCAGGTTGTACTCCTCAATTTTTGGAAGAAGGGGGATGGCCACCTTGAGTATATTACGCGCGGCACGCAACTAACTCAACCAGCCACCTAGCCAGCGTGAACTGAGTCCAGTTGGTATATTGTGTACGAAGAGTTTGATCTCCAAAATACCCACCAGGGTTGCATTTGTAATATGTAAAATACTCAACTGAATCCAGTCCTTTATTTACTTTAAAACCAGGCTGCTCCCAGTGAGGCATCAGCCTGCGTCATTACCAGTGGCAAAAATTATTTGTCACAATGAGTGTGTCTGGAGCAGCCATAAGTTTGGAATTTGCCGCACAATGCTTCTGGCTTCAGCAGATAGGGTGGCAAATATTTCAGTGATTATGCTGAGAGCGAAATGTGGCGCAAATAGTACCCCAACACCTGTTTCACACTGGTTATTCATCAATTCAATGCAATGTGTAGTGGCCCAATTTTGAAGCAAATGTAGCTCACTAATATGTAGGTGTCCTGTACAATGTATATTTTTTACAGGCCAGCAGCATTGCAGATATGAGCATATTTTGAACTTTTGCAATCATGGAGACTTGAATCATGCATGCAGGAATGACACTTGAATGTGATTTGGAGAAACAAGTATTGGCCAAAATTGTGATAGCCAATGCCTAAAGACAAGACAGGATTTTAAAATCATCATATGACTTTCCCATAAACAAGACAATGCTGGCTTGCAGTAGGCTGACTATGGAATGATAGATTGACTGGTGGACAATAAAGGTTATAATGACTTAAGATAGGTATCCATTTTATGGCTAGACAAGGTATTTGGAGGTTTAACACCCTGCCTTGTTTTGCTAGTTTAGCAGTGGTATCACTTATGAGTAACCAGTCAATTCCTGTTTTGCTGGAGATGAAAGTAAAGTACCTTGATGAAGATAAAGTTTTAAGGTGAGGTCAACTCATGTGACCTGACCCAACTATCAAAAATATTTGCAACACTTCAACCAAAATAGCAGCATGATCCATCAAGAACTTTGAAAGATCATGTAACATGCAGGGTATAGGTGAGATTTCATGTTGGGCTAAGACAACATTGTCTTAATGTGTACAGTGTGATATTGTCATTTTATCATAGCAGTGTAGCCATGATTGCTTTAAGAATATATGATACTGATGTTTGTATACTTGGCTGCCAGAAATTACCAGCAGTTCATCAGTTGTATCAGCTCTTGAGATTGACCAGTGAAGTGATCATGGTTTACCCCCCACCCACCCACCTCCAAGCCCTCACACAAGAAACACCACCATGGTCTAAATGCTATAGTTTGTGAAGGTTATCAGTAGTCTGTGCATGGAGAAGAATTAATGCTGTCTGGAAGCCTAGGGACCTATCCAAGTTTAATTCTGCAGCTGGCATGAACTATTGTGTCTGCCAGCCCCCAGTGTGGAGGCGGCGGTGGAGCCGCCACATCATCATGGTGAGCCGGTGTGGCACCTGTACAGCGCTGTTTGCCTGGAGCGGCTACCAGTGGTGGCCCCTCCACTTTCACCTATTGAGCGGGAATTCTCCACGCTGCTGCGACGACTGGAGTTTGAGAACAGCCTCAAGTCTGACCACGAAATGCGCCATGAGCGCGACATGTGAGTAACAGGTGCAGGCAGGTGTCATGTGCGGCCGTGTAAGTGCCAGCTGCGCGCGGGAAGGGTAGGGCGCCTGAGGGGTCAGTTTCGCGCGATCCATTTGCGATTGCAGGTAAATATGTTGTTTGGCAGAGTACTAAAGCTCATGTTCAGCATGATCATGCCAATCAATCATGGCACATCTTGAAGCCTGAGTGTACACCATGTGCAATAAATGCAGTCCGTCTGGCCGCCGTCATCTGGTGCAGCACTCCGTGGATAGAGCGATCACGTGGCGTGTTTTCTGGCGGAGCGGTGCGTGTTTGCGTCTGCGTGCTCCGGCCGTGGGTGACGTTTGTCCGGTCGGAGCCCGGGCCGGGCCGCCCCGGCCCCCAGCTGATGTCCGCGCGCACCGGTTCGCGGCTGATCTGTGTGCGCCCGGCACCTTGCCAGAGCCACGGCTGAGGCGCTCCGGCTGTCGGATGGCGACGACGCGGACCTGATGGACGCGGCCAGCATGCAGACGGCGGCCCCGACTTTGAGGACGCCTGCGCCGAGGAGCTGGCCGCCTTCACATCAGCTCCGATGCTCACAGGTCAGCGATGCGCCCCGCAGGTCAGGCGGGTCGGTCAATGACGGGCCCGAGTCAGAACTCAACGCAGCTAACGACGGCCATACCCCCGGTGGAGATGAGTGACTCCCCGCGTGCTCGCTGGAGGGGTAACTCGCTGCTGTGGTCGCGCCGGCGGGTAGGAGCCGTCACCCAGCCGGCGCTGTGTCCGATGACGGCCGCGCTGGTCTGTCCGGGGGCTGAACGCGTGGCCGGCCGGCGCCGTTTCGCGTCCCCAGAGGCAGACCGGACGGGCGACCTGCCGCTCCACGGACCGCGAGCTGGCCGCCAGTCTCGTGCTGGTGGTTGCAGCAGCGGCTCGGCACCGGCGCCAAGTGGATGATGCCGCAGGGCCGCCACCAGTCGGGCGAGACCATGAGACAGGTGGGTGGCGGCCCCCGTCCACGGGTGTGGCCGGGGCGGCGGCGCGGCGCCGCGGACGGTTGTATCGGCGGGTGTCTGTGTTTGCGTATTTGATATCTCATATCTGATATCTGGTGTCCAGACTCGGGGCTGGGAGGTATCATTGCATGTGGATTGCAGCTGTCAGGGATTTGCCTGCCGCTACCAGCACCAGCCAGGCACCGCCAGCTCAGACTGCGACAGCTGCCCCGTGTCGTTGTTTGTCCTGTGTGGTGTTCTGTTGCCCTGCGTCATGCGGCAGCTTGTGCGTCGAAGCGTCCCTCGTCAGCCAGCGTCCCGTGCTTTGGTCTGTTTGTGTCGTAGGCAGTACCCTGCATGTAGATGTCCCGTCCAGTGTGCCAATGTTGTCCTGTTTATTGAACAGATTTAGTATTGATTGCTTAAATGGCCACGCGACCATATTGTTGATGTTAATGTTATTTGTTTCATGGTTATCTTAATTTATTGTTTATTGTCCTGAATGTTGGTCGGTGTGCGGGAGGGAGTCTATCATGTTGAATGGTCGTCTCCCCTGCGGTGTATTAAACAGTATCACGCGTGCCCCGAGACCTGAGTAGTCATGTCTGTGGGTTGAACTGAATGGGGCCTGTATGACTGAAGAAGTCTCAAACCTTCACTAGTTTCCTGAAAATTGAGTCCAGCAGTGCTGCGTCCAGTTCGTTAGCTCATTGTGTCGGGCAGACTTTGTACCAGTCTGTGTTGGGTGCCGCATCTTTGTCGGTGCCGTGCTCTGTGTCGGGTGTCTTGCTTGCGTTGGGTGCCGTCCTTCTATGTCGAGCAGACCACCCCGTGCGTCGGCCGGTACGCTGGTGCGCTGCGGCAGGCTGGTCCCTGCGTCGGCCGGTACGCTGTGCGCCGCGGCAGCTGGTCCGTGCGTCGGCCGGTACGCTGTGCGCCGCGGTAGGCTGGTCCGTGCGTCGGCCGGCACGCTGTGCGCTGCGGCAGGCTGGTCCGTGCGTCGGCCGGTACGCTGTGCGCCGCGGGCAGGCTGGTCCGTGCGTCGGCGGTACGCTGGGCGCCGCGGTACGCTGTGCGCCGCGGCAGGCTGGTCCGTGCGTCGGCCGGTACGCTGTGCGCCGCGGCAGGCTGGTCCGTGCGTCGGCCGGTACGCTGTGCGCCGCGGCAGGCTGGTCCGTGTGCCTGGCTGTGCTCGGGCTGAACTTGCTCTGGTTCCGGCAGACGGCGGAGCGCACTCTGCAGACGGTGGTCGGACCGGACGTCCGCGCCCGGTTCCTGGGGCAACGTGCCCTGGGGCTTCTACAAATACAAATACCCCAAGGCGCTGCGCCGCGCGAGTCCGGTGCCATTGGCGGCAAGGTGAGACCCGTAATGGTGAGAGCAAATGTGGCATTTTTGATAGCTCTTGTTGTCGTTGATGAAGCCGTGTTCCTCTCGTGACACGAATAGATCGGACCCAAGCCTCGTTACGAGCTCAGACGTTTTTTTACGGTAATACCACCCGTATAATAAGATACTTATATTCATTTATAACACACACACACATATATATATATATATATATATATATATATATATATATATATTATATAATCGTATACTGTAGTGTGCCGTGCATTCTAAAGCACCAGCTGGGCGGCAGCCGTGTACGGTGTGTGGCCGGGGCTGATGCGGCTGGCGTCGGCGGCAAACGACGCTCATCCCGCCCTGCCGCAGGTGTTCTTCTTCAAGGCCGTGCTGTCGGGCGGCGGCCGTGGAACCGGCCGCCGACGAGGTGGCCGACTACAAGTGGCTGACGCGGGGCGAGCTGCGCCAACAGCTGCTCTCCAGCTACTACCGCTCCGTCCACCGCTTCCTGGTGGATGAGGACTGACGCGTACGCGCGTCGGTCTTCGCGCGCGAGAGAGAGCGGCTCCCGAGGACGGCCGGGCGCCGGCTCACTGACGGTAGACTGACTGGCTGTTGCGGCGCGGCGGCGTCCAGTCCCGGCTGCCGCGCCGGGCGCCAGCTCGCTGACGGTAGACTGACTGGCTGTGCGGCGCGGCGGCGTCCGGTCCGGCCACCGCGCCGGGCGCCGGCTCACTGACGGTGGACTGACTGGCTGTGCGGCGCGGCGGCGTCCGGTCCGGCTGCCGCGCCGGGCGCCGGCTCGCTGACGGTAGACTGACTGGCTGTGCGGGGCGGTGGCGTTCGGTCCGGCCACCGCGCTGGGTGCCTGCACGCCGTTGATGCCGCGGCGGTCCACTCATGATCACTCATCGGAAGGCGTGGTTCTCATGCGTCTCGGCCGTGCGGCGTCGAGGCACCGTCTCAGGTCACCAGCATTATGTCGACGGGATCGGCGCATGTGGTGCGTTGGCTTAAAGTGCTGCATGTGTGAGCGTGGTGCAATATATTTGTGCGTTGAAGATGACAGGATCATTTACACTGCTGCCATGATTTCACGGGCGTCGGTTTTCAGATGACGCGGAGGGCATTGGTTGGCACACCCGGCTGGCATGCGGCCGTTAAAACCCCATATACACAAACGGTCGCCATCACTGAGCGCTTGGTATGGCGGCGGTCCGACGGCGCCCCCCCCCCCCCCACTCCCACTCCCACTCCCCTTCCGGGAGCGCGGCAGCTCAAACCAGACCCAGCGCCTTGTGGTTTGTCCACAGCCAGTTGTGGTACAGATTCAGCATGTGGTCTTGTGGCCGCACCTGCTTCCACTCGCCCAGGCAGAAGATGCGGTACGAGTCGTTGCCATAGCGGCCGATGCCGTACAGCTCGTTCGGGTATTTCCAGGTCTTGGAGACGAACTCGTCTGAAATGTGAGGGGAGCACGTCACCTCATCTCGGCGACACCAAACTCCCAGCACATGCTGCACACGTCACTTTTGGTTCCCTCGACACGCGAGCCGGTCTGCTGTTAACTGTCTTATGTAGCGAAAGGCAATTACGACCAGACAGCGAAAGCGCTCATTGACTTGTCTGTGCCGGTGGGTCAACACAATCTCACGCAAAAATAAAATGTTCCTCAGGTCATTGTTAACAGAAACGTCAGAGACGACTTTGTCCAATTCGTTCAAATCGACACGAAAACCGACATATGGGGCGATTAGGGCTCCTTTGAAGTGATCACTTCAGGGCTATGGGATGAAAGTGAGTTGGGAGTGTCTGGGCAAGAGAGCATGCAAGTGTGAGCTCTCCGCTATTGAGATGTACCCCCACGCAGGACCCCCTTTTTGCTGTTTAAGCGAAAGCTCGGGCGGGGGTGCTAGCCAGGGAATCACGCCCCCTTCTGGCTGATGCACGTAGCCTTCACCGGATAAACAGGGTGTTGCGAGACTCCGAATAAGCATGAGTGATAAAAGCAGGGCGTATAATGAAAACGGTGGTCATCAATATTGATGATAGCAGCAGTCGTACCTGAGAACCTGAGTCGCACCTGAGAATCAGTGGCGGCAGTCGTACCTGAGAACCAGCGGTGGCAGTCGTACCTGAGAACCTAAGTCGCACCTGAGAACCAGCGGCGGCAGTCGTACCTGAGAACCAGCGACGGCAGTCGTACCTGAGAACCAGCGGCGACAGTCGTACTTGAGAACCAGCGGCGACAGTCGTACCTGAGAACCAGCGGTCGACAGTCGTACTTGAGAACCAGCGGTGACAGTCGTGCCTGAGAACCAGCCGGTGACAGTCGTGCCTGAGAACCAGCGGTGACAGTCGTACCTGAGAACCGGACGATGCACTGTGTGCGCCGCTCGGCCAGCCCCAGAGGCCGCAGCAGCTCCATGACGTCGGCCTCGTCGGCGTCGCGCGCCGCCCTCGCGTCCGGCCACCGCTCGAAGAACGTCTCCAGCATCGGCAGCGCCTGCCGACCTGGCGACGGCCGACACAGGTCAGCTGAGGTCAAACGTCAGCACAACAAAGGTCAGCCGAGGCCAGGGGCCAGCACATTCGCCCAAGCCGGCCCCAGCGGTGACCGCGTACTACCGACCACCAGCCGCGCCCCCGACTCGTGCCTGCCCCGGTTTCGTAGGGTGGAATCCGGGTACGTTATGCACTGCCCTTACCGGCCGTCTTGTTGAGGAAGATGGTGCCGATAAGCAGCTTCCAGGGGTCGTGGTAGTAGGTCTCCTGCATCAGCTTGTAGGGCGACCGAGGCGGCACCCAGCGGCGGCGGCCGGACAGCGACACTGCCGGGACAGACCCAGCGGTGGGTCAACGGGTCACACTGGGCGGCGGCCGGACAGCGGCACTGCCGGGACAGACCCAGCGGTGGGTCAGCGGGTCACACTGGGCGGCGGCCGGACAGCGGCGCCGCCGGGACAGACCCAGCGGTGGGTCAGTGGGTCACACTGAGCGGTGGACGGACGATGGCGCTGCCGGACAGACCCGTCAGCGGGTCACATTGGGCCGCGACCGGACAGCAGCGCTGCCGGGACAGACCCAGCAGTGAATCAGTGGGTCACACTGAGCGGCGGCCGGCGGCCGGACAGCGGAGCTACCGGGACAAACCCAGCGGTGGGTCAGCGGGTCACACTGAGCGGCGTTCCGGGCAGCGGCGCTGCCGGGACAGACCCAGCGGCGGGTCAGCGGATCTCGCTCGGTGCGACCGTGGGACGCCCCGCATGCAGGCAGGCACGGATGGTACCGGCGATCGCCGCGCCGGTTGGCCCGTGACTCGGCGACCGGCTTTGTATAGTAACAGAGCAATCTCGTGCTAAAGAGACAGGGGAGATCCCAGTACAGGCAGCTTCCAACTATGAGAAGATAGTGGGTCATGATAGATCTCTCCTCTGCTTGGTGGTAACTTTGACGCACAAAGTTAAGAAATACAATGTCAACAGCAGCCCAAAACGAGACCCATCAATATGGCATATTTCACAAACTTTACTTCAACTTGCCTCCTTCGAACGGCAGCAATTTTGGACCGCGATTAACTGCTGGCAAATGTTAAGCGTTTCTCTCGGTCATTACCAGCACTGCCAACTTCTGTCCGACACTTACTGCCAGATCGAGTGAAGATGAGGATCCCTTTGTGAAGGGAACGTGCACTTTGGTTTTATTAACGGATGGTATCGAGATAGAAAGGCGCTGTAGAAACGCTCTGGCATCGCTTTCCGTTCCAAATCCAGTCGGGTCAAATTTAGCATCGCAATAACCCGACGTTGGGCTGTGACCACATCAGCCATGCTTCCGCCGCGCCCGCCGACCACAAAAACAAACAAATCTTTCGCACGTGTATTAGCAAATAATTATTGTCACGCCAGTTCCCAACGCACAATCCAGGTGCGCGGACCGGCCGCCACCGTCAGCAATCGACGCCCGTCCTCACGCGGCTCACATGATTAATCGCCCTCACGGCTGTCAATAAAGCGGTATTAAAGCGCCGCCGCCGGCCCTCAGCTGCGGGCCCGCTGCCAGCTGGAGAGAGGCCGCTTCGACTCACCCTGCACGCGCCCGCCGGCCGCCAGCAGACGCCGCCGCGCGAAGCTGAACTTGAGCTTAATCTTCTGGTTCACGTCGTCGGTGGTCACAGAGGCGGACTTCGGCTTGCGGGCAGGCCGCGCGCGCGCTTGATGGCCTTGGCGATGCGCGCGCTGTGCGAGTGGGCGTGAGCCGCCGGCCGCGGCGTGGTCGCACCGCGCCGCTTATACGCCATGCCGACCTGCATGTGGGCGTTGAAGCAGAAGAGCTCGGGGTCCAGGTCACTGCCGATCGTCTCCAGGTAGTGGCGCACCTCGTTCTGCGAGCGGAACTTCTTGCCATTGGACTGTAATGGGACAGGAGTGTTAGGCTGCGCGGGGCGGCGCGGCGGAGACGGCCGGCGTCGGCGGTCTGGCGGCATTGACGGCAGAGCGCCGTGGGTTAACACAATCGTCACGTTTCTTAAACACAAAAGTGTGACACACATGCGACACATGCATGTGTCACACGTTGTCACACGTGTGCGTTTGTGATGTGGAATGTTTCACTCAAGCAAATAAAGAAGACCATCACATTTGGTCAAACTTTGATGAAATCAGCAATACTAACTCGAGAACTAATCTGGTACAATCAGTTCCAGCCCATTCAGCTAAGAATAATGCAATTGAAAAGGTTGAAATCAGGGTCAATTGGCGAATGCCTCTGCACCAAAAGTCGTGTATCGTCACATCCAGAGGCATGCAACACTGGCTCTATCCACTCTCTCCCTCTATTGTTACATCATCTGGCACCTGCCACTGCCCGGTATGCGTGCTCCTGTCAGCCGGGTAGCTTGCCGCCGACCAAGTCCCGTAGACGACCGCTTGTTGTTTATTGGTGTTTTTGGGCGCGCCAACTGCAGTGGTCATTTGGCGCCCAGTGTGCCCAAAGCACAGTCTGCAGAGCACATGATTGGGCATATGAACGCATGTCCGACCCTCACTTGTACACGTAGACGTCCCACTTGCCGGCCGAGACACCGGAGGAGCGCTGCACGCACTTGCGGGTCCAGCCCTCCGGCAGGCGACGGGTCGTCGAGTACACCCCATCTGCCGGCCGGACAATGGTACACACCCAGATCAGTCTGGGTACGTGCTGTCTGCCATCCATGCAGCACGCCCGAACCTTGAGATCATGCACACACCATCTGCATGTCAAGCTCTCACAGCTTTGGAAGGTGCGCTCGTCAGATCCAACCACTGGTTACACAGCTGGCACGGGGTCTGCCCAGCTCCATGGGTGGCCTGCTGGCAACATGGACTGCACACAGATGGCACAGATGTGGCACCAGAGCCTGAACTGTACAATGACCCCGGTAGCAGCATCCCCCAGTCTGGTAGCAGAGCTCTACTTAGTCTTGGGCTGGTTGTGCAGTGTGGCCAGCATACACAGCGATGTCAAAGGCACCATGTCTGCCTTTGAGCCAGTTGAACCCATGTCACCTTGCAGACAAGAGACCACATGACCTACCCACCCATCTTGTCAATCAGGGGTCAGGGGCCACCACTCTCCCCCTGTTTGGATGATGCACTCATCTTCTTGCTACTGCTTGGCAAAGCCCCCTATCCCCTGGGCATTAATGGATTGGGTAGGCCTGTCATAAAACTTCCCCAACATTTTGCTTTGATGACTGTGACATTACATGTCAATACTGGAGTTCCAGTTAAAGCATGAGCATGACTGAAATATATACACCTTAACAGCAATTAATCATCATTTCCATTTGAACAGCATCATTCAGCCAGCAAAAGCTTGAAGCATGCAAATCCGTACCTTCTGTGTCAGGTTTACGTGGTACGAAAGTTTCCTTGCTCATGGTGTGATCTGTAAGAAAAAGTTACTTGAAAAACATTGAAATCAGGAATATAACACCCATTGGTAGCTTGACACTCTGCCAACTTACAATGTATCAATGTTAGAAGCTACACTGCACTGACTAATACTCAGTAAGGTTTACTGCATATATAGAGGACCCTTTGATATAAAGTATTTCTGCTGCTAGCAATCCACAGAAAGCAACACATGTTGCACAAGCCCAGGCCCCCACTACCTGATAATTCAAGGGCATCAGGATAATTACAAGGTGGAAACTTCACAGGGCATAATGCTGGGCATGGTCCATCTGCACTTTGATGTCACCTGACCTTTAAAATGGCTGCTGCCACTGGTCTCAGGCCCTCTGGTCAGGAGTAAATAACAAATTGTAATATCTTATGCTGACATAGGTGGACAAATTGCAAGCCAAGCCCTCCAGCCAATGATGCAACCAAGGTAGGCATCACTGCTTGGACAAGGCTCCATAAGATGCTAAGCAAAGCAAGGTGTACTTTGAACATGTACAATGTATGTGCATGTATGCTATAAATCTCAGAGCCAGGTGTTTGATGGATGATCACAACTAATTTCAGTACATAGTCAATCTCTTATGGAAATATGATGCTGCAAAGTCATTCTAGGTGCATATATTGTCAAGGTTTTGTTCATATGACAAATAAGCCTGAAATTCTGTGCAAGATGGCTAAGCCAGAGTTCCACACAAGTGGTTAAAAGGTTCAGCACACCAGTCTTTGCAGGCAAAAAATGTAGTCAAAGCATTTGTTACAAAGTGGTCAATTGCTAGTGCAAAACATGGACTAATTGTCAATGAAACAATAACATCACCAACATTTGGACCGTAACACTATCACATGTGGACATGTCTCATTTGATGGCAATAGTATTAACATAAAGATGTTCAACAATACCTACTGGCCTTATCTTTCCGCTAAGACACCTGCTCTAAACGTTCTCAAATGCCACTGCTGCACTGAGTGAAAAGGCAGGTGGGTCCATTTGTTCCCAGTGAAAGTGCGTAAATTAGGAGAGGGTCGTATTTCCGCCAGTAGGTGGCCCAAGGCCCTTCCCTCGTATTCTCGCCGCAGCGGCACTCGGACCAATGCCAGGGAACGAAGGGCCTTGGGAACGACAAAATGTTCCACTCAAGGCCAGTTTCACTGTTCGTGCCTTCACGATGCGCACACCGCCCCGACCTTCACGCCCTTCACGCCAACTACACGCACGATGCGTCGCTTTTAGCATCTATGGAAATCAAAGTCTATTTGTTACTGCAAGAACCCCAACAAAGGTCGCTCAGCAAATCTCTACTTTGATAATAATTTGTGCCCTTTTGCGTAATAAAAAATATCTTAGACCCATGTTTCAACAAAGAACTATGATTAATTAGAGAAAAGAGCTCTAATTACGCGACTGTTTATCAAGAGCTATAAGTAAATACTTCCCGCCAAATACATATATGACCGAGCAAGGACATAACAGTGAAAACGAGTCGCGGTTGCGTTGTGCATGAGGTAAGCGAGGGAGACGTGTCGTAACTTGTTACACCTGCGTTTAATTGCGTATGACATGCACTCTTGCGAATGGTTTTTAGTAGGGGCTAGAAAGGTGTCTTTAATTGCACGCGAGTGTATGGTGAGATAGAGGTACCTGTTTCGAGGGTACTCAGATGGATTATTCATGGATGAAATGCACCCTAGAAATTCTATAATATAGATGGGAATAAAGCACACATGCCTCTGCCAGTTTCATAGCGCACAAGCAGCGAAATTATTGTTATCATTGGGTGTTGTGACATTAGTGTTACTCATAAGTGTTGGTGACTGCCCATAACTCATGGCACTTCCCTGTTTGAACTGGTTATGTAAACATGGCTATGAAGCGTGGGTTAGGATATGGTTGGCATTCAGTGCCATTGAGTTTGTGCCTAAGGGTGTATTTCCAGATTAAGATGACTTAAGCAGCTGTGAGCTATGGTACAGGTCTGTTTTGATGCAATTATTTTGATACTGATGGTAGGTGCATTTGTTGCATGTCCTTTTCTAGGTGCTACATAGAGCTGGGAATCAACCATCTCTCAAAGATGCCTCAGGTAAAGCATGAGCCAAATCCAGGCAAGGGATATATATCAGAGTATGAAAAAACTATACAAAGAAACATAAAAGAGAGAATGGAGATGCTGAAAAAGCTGAATTTAGATGCTATAAAGGAAGAAGCTAAAGCAGTCATCATGCCACCCAAGAAGAAGCGGAAGGTGTTCAGAAGAGCAAAACCAGAACCGTGAGTCAGTTTAACTTATCCATGCTTATGTGATGTATCCTTGGATGTCTTTTTGAGAGCATGAAGTGTGGACAGGGCGGCATTCAGAGCAGTGTTGGAAAAAATGTTTTCATGCTGGATTTGCTTCATTGCAAGTAATAGTCTTCCTTACTATGCTCCAATGGGCCAAAAGGTGTTGTCTTTTTGGGATTGTTTGCTTTAAATGGGGGGGTACTAGTACATTGGGATTTCAATCAAAAAGTCCAGGGCCTTTCAACTTAGTCCAGTGTCTTTTTGATCTTACATATAAGTGTGCACCACAAGTCTGGCCTGCATGTGGAGCTCCGACCTTTTTACTTCAACCATGGCATGTTTCAGGTTGTTTGGTACAGCCAGCTTAGTTATTGCTTTTCTGTTTATTTTAATTCATGAAGTAAGTCCATACAAGATCAGCAAACTCTTCTCAGCCAGTGATTGAGCAGCACCACTCTGTAGTAATTATCTTCTGTTAGGCATTCTGGTGAATGCCAAGGCACTGCCTGTCACTTGTGCCAGTTTGTCAGCTGGTGGCTATTCCGTCTGTCACTGGTGCCCGTCTGTCGGCAGGATGAGCTCGGTGCCGACCCGGCGCAGTCTGCGGATTAGCAAGCTGGAGCCGAGCGGCGAGCCGCTGCCCGAGCGGCCGGTCACACCGCCGCCACCCCGCAAACTCGGTCAGTGGTTGTCCCATCACATTCGTCCCGCGGCCCCCGGCGGAAGTGTCCCGCGGGACCCGGCATGAGTGGAACTCCTGTCGCTGCTGGGCCCTGGTCGGGGACTTTCGGTTGGGTGCCGCCAGGACCCGGTCGAAGTGTGGACTCCTGGTGCTGGCTTCTGGTAAGGTCTCCGGTGCCGTTGGACCGACCGGTCCGGGCGCCGCGCCTGACCTGCCGGGTTCCATACCCAACGGCCAGCTGGGTGTTTGCCGCATACACATCAGTCTGCTGCCACACGCCCATCAGCATAACGTTTGTCTCTGCCTAGGCTGCAAATGTTTGCCGTCCCTAGAATTTTAGTTACCCCTAGCGGCATTATTTGCTGCGCCAGACCGCCCTACGGGGCGGAGGGGGGAGGGGGGAGGTGTCTCTAGGAAGTGGCGGCGGACCCGCCCCGCTGTGAGACGCTCCAGGACGGTCGGGTAAGAGGTGGCGTATCCCCATTTGTGCTCAGGGAAAGAGACGGTGCAGGACGCGTTGGTGGATGGCTCGACCGCGGACGGCGCGCTCGGCTTCATCGAGGACATCAAACAGTGGCTGAGCAAGCAGGAGCGGCGACAGGACATCCCCGCCGACAGGTAAGATCATCAGGACATCCCCGCCGACAGGTAAGATCATCAGGACATCCCCGCCGACAGGTGACGGCATCAGGGCATCCATGCCGACAGTTAACAGCATCAGGGCCTCCCCGCCGACAGCCAACAGCATCAGGATGTCCCCATCGACAGGTAACAGTATCAGGATGTCTTGTCTAGTAATTGATGGACTATCACCAGCCAGCTGCTCCTGGTAAGGGCCCGTTACCGAAGCGTCGCGTACCGTCATTAAAACGGTGTGGTATCCGATTACCCTGTCGCTCATGGTATGCTGCAAGACGAGTTGTATTACCATGTGTTGTTTACATTTCTGTGGTTTTTTTTTATTGCGACCTGTCGTCTTTGTCAGTTTGATACATGGGTGCCACATGACTATTGTAGTCGGCGCCCCCAAAGCCAAAATCATCATCATCGTCAATTTGACATCAAGCGCTGTTGGCACAGCGGATTCAGTTCCTGTATCGCGTACATAGTCGTGGAAGTGGTCCTCTGGCTCTCACCATCGCGTTTTGGCGGTGTCGTGCTGAGCGTTGACTCGGCTCTGCGTGGCTCGGGGCGTCCCCACAGCTACACCCAGGCGCTGGCCAACATGACGGTGACGGAGGACACGTGGACCAAGGTGACGCCGCAGCGCATCTGCTCCATGGCCTTCTGTCCGCTGCAGGACAAGCTGGTGGTGGCGGCCGGCGACAAGCGCGGTGTGCTCGGTACGTGTCGGTGCTGCCGCCGGTGTCAGTGTCAGTTGGCAGTGTCAGTGTCATTTTGCGGCGTCGCCGGCTCTTCTGACTGCCGGAGTTGTACGGCATGTTCCCGGCCTGTGGCGCAGCACATGGAGGACCAGATCAGAGGGAGAACCTGACGGAAAGATGGTTTCACATCCCGGCGGGTAGCCCGGCGCAGAAGTCATTGTGTCGACTTCATGTTAGACCGACTCCGGACCTGCAATGCACGGTCGGGGTAGTCGGCGTATGTACGAATCGTGGTGCGCTCATGATGCGTCTGGATGTCTGTGCGTGGGTGACGAAGCCTACCCACCGCCTCTGACGCCGTGGAGGCCGGCGGACCTCGTCTCGTGTGGAGATGTACCCCACCCCGTCGGTGGTGAGGTTGACCCGCCGCTTCTGACGTCGTCGAGGCCGGCGGGCCCCGTCTCGTGTGGAAATGCACGCTCCCTCCGACTCCCGCACCACACCGCCCCGCGCCGTGTCCGACGGCCTTGGTTCTGCGCGCCGCGGCAGGCCTGTGGGACGTGTCGCTGGCGGACGCGGGCGTCCACCAGCTGGCGGCGCACAACCGGCACATCAACGGCCTCAGCTTCGCACCGCATGATGGCCATCAGTGCTTCACCACCAGCTACGACGGCATCACGCGCCGCCTCGACCTGCAGAAGATGGAGCTGGATCAGGTCAGCGGACTGGTCGCGCCGGCTGACGTGACGCTGCCGACACACGTCCGGCAGTGGGCTGGTTGTAATGATGCCAGCGTTCACGATTCTGACATTGTGGTTGATTTATCATTGTAGCATGTATTTTATGTTACATTCGCATATTGTTGCTACAGAGCATCGTGAGAACATAAGGATTCAGTGCCCCGGTAGGTCATGACGTCGTTACGTGAGCATCGTTGTGTGACCCTGTTAACACGCACTAGGGTGGCCGGCTAGGCACCCTTTGCTTGGGTGGGGGGTTAATTTGACCCCCCTGAGATATCGGGAACTAAGGGAGCTAAGGACACCAAATTCACAAGGCATCTTGACCTGTATGTGAACTCACTGAGGTCAAAGCTGGAGATTCCTAGGCCATGACCTCCGGGTCAAATAAGATCAAATAAGGTTAACTTCCAGGTTGGTCTCCGAGGCGCCCCCAGAACCTACATAACTGTAAGCAAAATTCACATGTTCAGTTAAGGTCAGTGACCTTGTTTGATTTTTTAGAGGTCATGGTGACCAAAATCATGCAAGACCTCTGAGTTTTGCATTTTGATGAGCAGCAAAGATTACGCTAGGTTGTATTTTTTTAGAAGCAAAATGTCGAGCCCGGTCATTTTAGGTCAATAACATATTCTGACCTTTAAGAACTCCATGGAAGATAAATAATGCGGTTCGTGTTATCAATAAATTCGAAATGAGCACCAGAAACTATCGCATACTGCAAGCCCTAGAGTAAAAGACAAGTTGGTTTGACCTTGGTCTGACCTTTGTACCTGACCTCAGGTCAACGCAATTTGCTCATTCAATATTGGTGTTGCCTTAGAAAGCACCTCAGAGATGTATTGCTTCGCCTAACACTCCGTTGTTGCATCAGATTTAACGATTCCCTGTAAATTTACTTCGCTGAAACCATAGCCTGACTTTGGCCTGCCATAGATCAGCGACCTTACAAGGTACATCTAAATTTTTGATGCGTAACGATCCGCTATTCATTTGTCTACAGATATGCAAAATTTGGCACGGCTGCGCCGCGCTGTTTGAAAACCATTCTGGAACAAATATTCCGGGGTGGGTCAATTTGACTTCCACACCCGAGCGCGTGTTAGCCGATGCGGTAATGAGATTATAACGTTATGACATCGCGCCTTGTTATAACAGTAAGCTGTAGAACGATCTTCATGGTTCAGGTGCCGGGCTAGTGCTTCTGCTGAGCGTTTTCTTACGTTCGCACGGCCGTTTTCGGCCGCCCTGACCCCGCGCGCGCCGCCAGGTGTACGCGACGGCCGGCTCGGAGGACCTGTACCTGATCCACCACGCGCACGTGGGGGCGGCCGGCCTGCTGATCGGCCGCAGCGACGGCCAGCTGGTGCGTGTCGACCTGCGCTCCTCCGACAGCGTCCTGCACAGGGTCGGCTCCGGAGACGTGCGCTACATCAGCGTGCACCCGAGCCGCGAGCACACGGTCGTCACCGTCGAGAGGCCCAGGTGGGTGGCGACCAACGGACCGGGCGGCGTGGAAGGCCGATGGCGCCGGCTTCGCTGCGACCTCGGGGTGGCCTGGGACGTCATGGAGGGGCCGCATCTTCACCCTTCTGGCATGCTCCACCGGACTGGGATAGCGTATGCTCGTTTCATTTTTGTAAGGCACTTAAGAGTACTTTGCCGTGTCAAAATCCCGATGAAGTTATGCGCAAAAATTGAGGAAATTTGTGATTTGCTCAATGCATCCGACGCCAGAGTATCTAGTGAAGCATATTTATACGAGAGTTGGACTCATGACCGTCGATAACCGGACAGAATGTGCTCATAACACTGCTACGCCTACATTATGTGCATTTTGCTACGTTAAAAATCGGACAAGGTCAGATCAGATATCTCGTAAGAAATATGGGCTTTGCTCGTGGTGCCGTCTCGTGCACGTTCAGATGTCGACGACTTGACTTACACCTGAATGAAGGACGAGGCCCGCATGAGCGTCGGTGAACCTTTTACGCGTCACGTGGTGCCGTGGATCTGGACACATGAGCACTGCGGTGTGACCGATGTCCGGGAGTCAGTGTGGCCGGTGGCCGGGAACCAGTGTGACCGGTGTTCGGGAGCCAGTGTGGGCGGCAGCCGAGCACCAGTGTGGCTGGACGTGTCCGGGAGCCGGTGTGACCGGTGTTCGGGAGCCAGTGTGACCGGTGCCCGGGAGCCGGTGTGACCGGTGTTCGGGAGCCAGTGTGGCCGGTGTTCGGGAGCCAGTGTGACCAATGTCCGGGAACCAGTGTGGCCGGTGGCCGGAAGCGGGTGTGGCCGGTGTTCGGGAGCCGGTGTGACCAATGTCCGGGAACCAGTGTGGACAGTGGCCGGGAGCCGGTGTGACCGGTGTTTGGGAGCCGGTATGACCAATGTCCGGGAACCAGTGTGACCGGTGGCCGGGAGCCGGTGTGACCAATGTCTGGGAACCAGTGTGGCCGGTGGCCGGGGGCCGGTGTGACCGATATCCGGGAGCCGGTGTGACCGATGTCCGGGAGCCGGCGTAACCGGGATCCGGGAGCCGGTGTGCCATTGCCTGGGGACGGGTGACTGGTGTCCCGCCGGAGAACCGTTCCCACGGAGCCGTCCGTCTGCCGCTGTTCCAGCACCATCAGCCTGTGGGACATGCGCCGGCTGAAGGGCGAGCGCAGCGCGCTGCAGCGGGTGGAGCTGCCGCGCGCCTGCAGCAGCGCCAGCATCAGCCGGCGCGCCGGCGATGCCCTGGTGGCGCTCAGCAGCGACGACACCATCCGCCTGTACAGCGACCTCAACAGCGGCGACATGCTTCGTGAGTGAGAGTCGACCGGGCGTGAGTGGCGACGTGTCGGCGGCGGCGACCGGACCCCGGCAGTCGACCGGGCGTGAGTGGCGACTGTGCCGGCGGCGGCAGTCGGACCCGGGGCAGTCGACCGGCGTGAGTGGCGACTGTGTTGGCAGCGGTGGACGTCAGTCTAGGGTAGTTGCGGAGCTCCGACGACAGGTTCTTTTGTGTTGGTGGTCAATGACGGTGCACCATGGAGCTAATAATGGATTGTCCCGACGCAATCACGCTGTGGGACACATCAGTACAATTTTGTATCATCCGCCTAGATATGTTTTATCTGCCCCCTCCCCTCCCCTCCGTCTCCAACGTTCTGATATGTCATTGCCAAGCGCCAGTTTTGTCGCGGTTTGACTAACGATGATGATATTGACTTGTGGCGCGCCACCCTCAGCCACCAAGACGATCCGACACAACAACCATACCGGCCGGTGGCTGACCACGTTCAAGCCGACCTGGCTGCCGGACAGTGACGACCTGTTCCTGGTGGGCTCCATGGACCGGCCCAGACGGGTGAGAGATGATCCGGTCTAGGCTAGGACGGCCGGGCCGCCAAAGCCGAACCCTGTAGAGTGAGGACTCCGGTCCGTGTTGGAATGTTTCCGCTGTTCTTACTGCTGGCAATACAGTCAGTGTGGGCTCGAATTGGACCTATATTCTTTGGGATGTTTAGAACGTCTAGAACAACGTGGGCCACCAGGCAGGGGGGCAAAACCAGGTTTAGGTTTTGAAAGCGAATCCAAAGCTAAGACTGGCATAAAGCCGAAGCCAGCCGTGGAAAGTGTCTCGAAGCCGAATCAAAAGCTTTTGAGAAAAAAACGCGATACGAAGCCAAATCCTAAACCTTCTTCGTTCCCATAGCGCTGCAGGCCACACGTTTTTCTCTATTCTTAGTCTTTGATACGTGTCAGTTATGTTTTACATTCTCCAGTTCAGCCAATTTTCTAACGAGGAGGACTAGATTTTCATGGCCTAACTAGTTGGAAGATAAGTTGTAATTCGCAGCACTAGCTTTGTTATTGGCAAATGTATGGCATTGCCATTATTAAGGTGTACGAGCTGCCGTCGTCGGCCGAAGCCACGGTCTGTGTTGGTCTGCGGGCGGGACATGGTCTGCGTTGGTCTGTGGGCGGGACATGGTCCGTTGGTCTGCGGACGGGACATGGTCTGTGGTCTGTGGGCGGGACATAGTCTGCGCTGGTCTGCGGGTGGGACATGGTCTGTTGGTCTGTGCGCGGGACCTGGTCTGTGTTGGTCTGTGCGCGGGACATGGTCTGCGTTGGTCTGCGGGCGGGGCATGGTTTGTGTTGGTCTGCGGGTTGGACATTGTGTTGGTCTGCGGGCGGGGCATGGTCTGTTTTGGTCTGCGGGCGGGACATGGTCTGTATTGGTGTGCGGGCGGGACACACTCGCGTGTGACCGTGCGAGGCCGGCCCGCCGCCGCCTGCCGCCTCAGCTCGGCTTTTGTGCTGCAGATGGAGGTATACGACCGAGCCGGCCCGGTGTACCACTACCTGATGGGGGAGGAGCTGCAGTCGGTGTGCTCCACCATCGTGTGCCACCCCACCCAGCCGGCCATAGCCGGCGGCAACTCGTCCGGACGCGTCTACGTGTTCCAGTGAGGGCCGCCTCAGCTGGTGCCGCGCGGCTGGGCTCCACGGACGCCTGACCCTTGGACCAGGTCCGCGCCTCGTCACCGGCTGGGGGTGCGGGCGCATGTGTCATCAATCGGAGGCGTGCAGTATGGCTCGCCGACTCGTGCGAGGCTTACCATGACTCCAGTACCTGTATGCTCACCGGTAATCGAAATTTCTCCAACGTTTGATAGCCTTGATACAACATTGCGGTAGAAGCCTTCCGCACCACCGGATGTAGTGGTTCAATAGTTTTTACGATGTTGTAGTTTAATTAGTTCACTTCGGTAGGCAATGCTGCGGTGGTTTTCCAAGGTGATCTTGATTTCTAGTAGGATTTCGCGCTGTATTCCAGATCTGGGTTACACATCAAGTGCCATCAATTCTTATAGAAGCATGCGCAAAAGACGGGACGTGCTATGTTCTATGCACTAGTGTAGAATGGTTCGAAATGTGACATCGTGCGATGTTTTATGCACTAGTGTAGTATAGTTCGAATTTCAGCATCGTGCGATGTTTTCTATATGAGTGTAAGGTAGGCAATACGATGTCGCTTTTTCTAAATACATTTTGATAGCTATGCCGGTCCTTGTGGAGAAAGGGATGAAAACGTCCGGTGCCGCCTCCCAGTCCGCCGCGAGACCGCCCGCCCTCGTTCACGTTTGCCTTGACAGACATCGTCAAGACATTTGAAAAACGGCTCGTTCGTGTGCTATGAGCACCACCAACGGTAAGACAACTGACGCTGCTGTTGACTGCAAATAAGACCAACGCTTTCGACCGATTCTGCCCATGCGTTGGCCGCCACACAGCGGAAGGCGTGGGCGTCTAGCCCGGCTGTCCCTGCCGCTCAGACCGCATGGGTCAGAACATTGCTGGCTGTGCAGCGCTGGTTACGACCATGTGCAGCACTGATTATGATTATACGAAGTTAGTGAAGGTCGCCAACTCCTCCAGCTGATTGTAAGATGTCTCATAAGCGCAAAATCACTCAGTCTGGTGATGGTTACATGCGCGTCTGGACCGGACGGAACTGGATGGAGCGTCATAAAGCGAGACGGGACCGGAAGGTGTCACTTCAGACTAGACCTGGCGATACTAGACCAGGCGGGATGGATGGAACCGGACGAGGTCTGATGAGATCATACGAGACTGGACGGAAGCAGACAGAACCAGGTGGCAGCGTACGGGACCGTGCGGCAGCGGACGGGACCGACGCAACGGACGCAACTGAATGAGACATAACTGACCGGACGCGGACCGGACGAAATCAGAAGATGCCTTGTCGAACTGAACAGATTCAGACGGCATTAAACGTCACCGAAAGGAACCGGATGAGACAGAACGGACCACACAACCGGAACGGATCGGGCGGAACCGGACAAAATATCATAAGGCGAGGCGGAACCAGGACAAACCAGGCGCGACCGGGCGGGACCAGACCAGACCGGTTGAAGCCGGGTGAGACCTCATGAGACCAGATGGGAACGGATGCAACAGGACACGACCAGACGGGACGGGACTGGACCAGGAGGTACTTGGCTTGACCGGACAGGACCGGACGGGGCAGACGAGACCGGACGAAATCACATGGAACAGGACAGCATTGGACGTGACCGAACCGAGCGCAGTGCTACTGAACTGGATCAGACGGACAGGATGGGACGCTAAAAGGTCCAGATGGGATCAGACAGAACCGGATGGGACCGGGTGACCCAGATGGGACCAGATGGGACTGGACGACACTGGACGGTACCGGACGGTTCCGGATGAAACTGGACGAGACCCGATAGCATCGGATAGAACCGGACGAGATCTGGGACCGGACTAGGCCGAGCGGAGCCCGACGGGGCCAGACGACTTCACGGGATGGGACGAGACTGGATGGCAAGAGCCGTGACCATAAGGAACGGAGCGGAACAGGAAGAGATCTTCGGGATCCTATGGTCACATATGGTCCCATCTGACCTCGTCTGGATCCACTCGGGACTGTCCAGTATCACCTGGTCCCGCCTGGTCCCATCTGGTTTGGTCTGGTCCCACTCCGTCTCGTCCAGCCCTGCCGAGACCTTTTCAGTCAGTCCAGTCCCGTCCAGTCCCGTCCGGTTTCATCCAGTTCCGTCCAGTCCTATCCCATCGCGTCAGGTCCCGTGTGACCTGTGTTTCTTGCCATTCGTTGGATCCAGACGAGGTCAGATGGGACCATATGTGACCATAGGATCCCGAAGATCTCTTCCCGTTCCGCTCCGTTCCTTATGGTCACGGCTCTCGCCATCCAGTCTCGTCCCATCCCGTGAAGTCGTCTGGCCCCGTCGGGCTCCGCTCGGCCTAGTCCGGTCCCAGATCTCGTCCGGTTCTATCCGATGCTATCGGGTCTCGTCCAGTTTCATCCGGAACCGTCCGGTACCGTCCAGTGTCGTGTTGTGTTCGCCGTTCGCCGCCAACGCCAGTTCGCCCATCCGGTCTGAACTGGTCTCTCCTCATTTCGCCCGGTCCCGGCTGGGCCCATTACGCTCCATCTGGCGCCATCCGGTCCCGTTTAGTCCCGTCCGGTGTCTATCCGCCACGTCCGGTGGTGTCCGATGTCGTCTGATCCCGTCCGGGTTTGGTTTGATCACTTTCAAGCCCGTTTGGTCCCACTCAGTCCGACGGGTCCGTCCGGAACCATCCGGTTTCGTCTGGTCTCATTAGGTTCCATCTGGCTACATGCGGTCCTGTTCGATCGCGCCGATCCCGTTCGGCTCCGTCTCACCCTGTCTGGATCCGTCCCGTGCTGCCCGATCCCGTGCGGCATTGTCAGGTTAGCGGTGATTTTTGTCTTGTGACGTCACAATCAGCTGTAAGTGTTTGTGGCTGTTATCTTTGCACAATCAACTTCTCCTTGCCTCATTCGTTATTTTTTGCAGCACAATGAAACTATGAGAGTTCGCTCATTTGCGTGCATATATGCATACATGGAAAGCTTCTACCAAAGGCTCAGACTCGTGCGTGGACACCGTGAATTAAACCGCACCATTCGAGGCGGGTTTGATGCATCGGCAGCAGCGCAGGCCCTTAATCGTACCGGAGGGCCCTTAATCCTAACCATAACTCTTAATCTTAACCGGAAGGCCCCTCGGAACCTGCGATTAAGGGCCCGAAAAGTCGGCCAGGGGTCTCATTCAGGGACCACGGCCGGCAGGGCCGGGCGCTCAAATGCCAGTCAGAGGGCCCTGAGCGCTGATCAGGGGCCCACTGAGTCGATAAGAACCTATGTTTCGGTCAGACGCCAACAGTGCCGCACAGTCGGCTCCGTGGCCGCATTGTCCTAAGGGTACATTCCCAAAGCAGGGGCAAAGCCGGAGCCACAGCAAAACAGCCTAGCAGGTGGCCTAAAAGACGGCGAACCGACTACCAAAGGCTCGTTTGGAGGACATAAGGGCCCGAATGACTGGCTGTACGTCACATCAAAACCACAGCCAATATGGTCGTGACCTGAAATATCAGTCAGAGGTCCTCTTGCGCCGTTTTAGAAACCCCTGACACAATGCGGGTATCTAAATCGGTCAGAGACCACGGACGCTAAACAGACGACTCCACGTCCATCTGAGCCGTTGAGACCCCTTTCCCAAGCAGAAACGAGGCCGGAGCCCGCTTTTCAATGTTCGGGGCCGCTGACACAATGAGGGGCTCTTGTGTCGCTTAGGGGCCATAACACCGAACAGGAGTCATGTGGCAGCAAGTGGTTCCGAGTAGGAACAGCGTTTGAGGGGGCCCGAAAAGGGGCCGGAGGGCCTCTCGAGATCAGAGATCAAGGGCCGGATGGGATGGCTAAAGGGTCCGAACGGCTGGCTGCAGGTCATATTAAGGACCCCCGTCCACAGGGCGCGATCTCAAATTTCAGTAAGACGATTCCTTGCACCGACAGGGACCCCTGAGACAGAGCATTCCTCTGTTTCGGCCAAAGATCACGGGTGACGAACAGTCATCTTCATGTTGGTCTGAACCCTGGGGGCCCATTTCCCAAGCAAGAACAAGACCAGGCCCGCGATTTACTTTGGTCGCACTCCTGTATCGTTCAGGCGCCCACAGTGCCTAACAGGGCGTTCTAAGTCAACAGGGGGTCTTGAATCGGTTAGGGGGAAGATTTGCTCAACAGGGACGAGGACGGGAGCCCGAATGGCAGAGGGTCTCTTACGTTGGTCGGAGCCCTCTGACAGTTGAGGAAAGTAAGAGCTTATGATGAGTGCTCTCATTGAGGTAATAGAGGGGGCCTGTGCCAGCCAAGGCCCCCACTACCGAACGGTGGGCCCTCCAAGCCTTTGCCAGCATTGGCCAGTTAATCTGAACTGGAGTCTATGGTCCAATTATTTGACCACCTGAGGTGAGCAGGGATGTTGCTGCGTCGATGACGGTTCATGCATCGACCCGGGGGTTAGCTGCGCGGGTCAGGAGGCCTTTCGCGTCAGGGAGTGAACCAATGTGACATGACGTATCCCCCTCCGTATTGGCCAGGGGATGCCGCCGCGTGCCGCCAGAATGAAGACCGGAAAACACAACGCAGTGGGACAGAATGGCCTTCCAGCTCCTGACCGAGAACAGCAATGTACCCCGCAGTGTTATACTCAACGGGTTCCCTTTACCGGAAACAAATCAGGGGTCTCATTAGTGCTGAATGGAGTGGGCCAAAATAGGCACAAAACACACAAGGCCATCTCAAGTCTTCTCGAGAACGTTCATTTTTTGCTGAATCGACTAGTGAAACAAATACCATCGAAATGTTTGAGCCTACGGCCGGGTGCCGATAGTGTAGTGGTTCACGCCCCTGCGTCAACCACTACGCGTCTGGGAAAACGACGTTGCGCAGTCTAGGGAGACTGGAACGCCTGACGTCTGAGCGAGCTTGCTATTGTTAGTGGTGGGGTACGCTGAGAGTCTTAACATTCCCGACGCCAACTGAAATGCCGTTCGCGGGGGAAGAGACATTAAGGGACCGACCGAAAGCTGGCGGCACATAGCGTTCTATTCGTAGTTTATCTATGGTTCTATTACTCAGGGCGAGACAGTGCCCACGAGATTTACCCATATATGCGAAATGGACTCGTCCAAGCGATCATATTAGTGGACTGAGCCGTACCTGTTACCCTGGAACTATCATCTGCATCTACTATCCTGGTAACTATTACCCTGGAACCGTACAGCCAATGAGCGAGCCATCAAAGCTTCCTCATCGTCGCTAATACTGGAAAAATAATGATGTTTCCCGTCTCGCTGCAGATATAGCAGGCTTATTAGGAATT